GTTTGATAATTTGCATTTCAGGTGAGAAGGATGTGGTCGAACTTCTCGTCAATCATGAGGCTAATGTTAATGCAGAAGATAAAGATAAGCGAACGCCACTACATGGAGCTGCCAGCCGGGGTAATATTGCAAACTATCGGCGCGAACTATGAATTCTTTTCAATATTTGATTCTTTGGTCTACAGGTTGGAAGGAGTCGGCCGAATTTCTCCTCAATCATGAGGCTAGTGTTGATGCAGAAGATAAAGATAAACGAACGCCACTACATTACGCTGCCAGAGGGGGTAATATTGCAAACTATCGACTCGAACTATGAATTCATTTAAATGATTGATAATTTGCATTTCAGGTGAGAAGGATGTGGTCGAACTTCTCATAAATCATGGAGCTAGTATCAATGCGAAAGATGAGAATGGATTGACTTCACTTCACGTAGCTGCAGAAAATGGTAACTGACAAACAATCCAATCAACCAATGATTTTTTTAAATGTTCATTTGTTATCAAAATGTTGAGCTTACATTTCCTTATTCATTACAACAAATCGAATTTTGGAACAACAAAATCAATTTCATATTAGAAATGGTCAGAATCAATTTATTCAAATTTCAAAACAATATCCAGGTCGAATGTATATTGCACAACTACTCATCGATCATAAAGCCTATGTTAATGCAAGAAGTAAAAACAGCACGACGCCCCTTCACGTAGCTGCAAAATTTGGTAATAGTACGACCTATTGAGTCAATATATGTCTGCATACCAATGTTTGTCTGATTTGCTTTCCAGGTAAACCGGATATTGCCAGACTTCTCTATAATCACGGAGCTTTTGTTAATTTAGTAACTGATGATAAATGGTCAGCGCTCCATTTCGCTGCAGAAAAGGGTAATAGTCCAAGCAATTGATTCGAACTATGAATTTCATTGAATGTTTGATTGACTTTCCAGGTTATAAGGATATGGTTGATCTTCTCATTAAGTGGAGAGCTTCGATTTTAGCAAAAACTAACGATAATTGGACGCCTCTCCATTTTGCAGCAAAATCTGGTAACAATCATAGCAATTAAGCTCAATCATTAGTTCTTTTCTAAAAAATGTTATCAATCTTTTAGGTCAAATGAATATTGTTGAGCT